GGGGAAAAACCTTTCCTGAGATCCAACCCAACCCTGCCCCGACTCAGCTCCAGCCGTTCCCTCAGCCCTGTCCCTGGGCACCAGAGTGAAGAGGTTCCCACAGCCCCAGCCAGGGACCCGCTCCCAAGGGTGTTGCCATGGCAACCAGGGCTGGCACCAGCTGGGATGCTTGGTTTCCATGGGCTGGGGTTTAGGAATGGTTTTCCCCAATTTTGTGCTCCCGCTGGAACAGCACTGCCTCTCGCTCCACTCCCCCTCTGATGGAAAGCACAGAAGGCAAAGATACTGAGCTGGGATAAAAACAATTTACTGGGAACAGCAACGAGATAAGGAACCAACAGGAACAGCAACAATATTGATAACAGAAGGGATAACAACAAACAATTTGCAGGGAAAACTGTGACAGCAGCAATGGGCTCCTCTGTTTTCTCCTGTGCTGAACGAACATCCTTCTCCCCTCAGGAGAGAGCAACACTCCGTTTCCCTGCCGCTGGGAATGACCTGAGGTGGGATCAGATATAATGGCAGGGGCATGGCCAGACCCTCATGTTCTTCCATCCCATCCCACATCACTCCCAGAGGCAGAGAAAGGGACAGGTGTTTTCCCAACGTGGATCACTGGGAATGTGGGTCACCAAGGCTCTTTCCACCTTGGATCCTGCGATGGAGGATTGCAGCAGCAGATGAGAAGCATTTCCTGCACTCAGGGCACTGGCAGGACTTCCCTTACCGGTGCCTCCGTTGGTGTCGGGCCAAGGTAGAGCTGTCTAAGAAGCTCTTCCCACCCTGGGGACACTCGTAGGGCCTCTCCCCGGTGTGGATGCGCTGGTGCCGAAGGAGATGGGAGCTGCTCTGAAACGTCTTCCCACACACAGAACATTCATAGGGCCTCTCCCCAGTATGGATTCTTTGGTGACAGATCAGTACAGAGCTCCGGCTGAAGCTCTTCCCACATTCCAAGCACCTGTAGGGCCTTTCTTCAGTGTGGATGCGCTGGTGCCTGACGAGGGCGGAGTTGTCCTTAAAGCCCTTCCTGCAGTCGGGGCAGAGGAAGGGCCTCTCCTCCCTGTGAATGCGCTGGTGTCTCATGAGATCTGAGCTGATTGAAAACCTCTTCCCACACACAGAACACTGATAGGGCCTCTCCCGGGTGTGGAACCTCAGGTGGCGGATCAGGCTGGAGCTGCAGCTGAAGCCCTTCCCACATTCCCCACACTCGTAGGCCGAACCCCGCTGTGGATCAGCAGGTGACGGATCAAGCTGTTTCTCCAGCTGAAGCTCTTCCCACACTCCAAGCACTTGTAGGGCTTCTCCCCAGCGTGAAGCTGCTCATGGACCCCCAGCTCCAAGCTCTGGCTGAAGCTCTGGGTGCCTTCCTGCCACAGGGTGGGTCTTTTCCCCTCAGAGCACCCTGAGATTGGTTTGGAGCCCCTCCTTGTGTGGGATCTCCAGGGCTTTTCCTTCCCATTGGATTCCTGTGCCGTGGAGCCGCTCAGAATGGGTTCTTCCATGAGGTTCTGTTGGGGGGATTTGTCCTCCTTGGTCTCCATCCTCAGCTCATTGTCTGGGGGAGGAAAGACAAAGAGAGGGTGGAACACGGAAGAGGAATAAGGAGAGGAAGTAGGGGAGAAAGGAAAAAGGGTGATGGAAATAGAAGAAAATGGATTAAAGAGAAAAAAGAGGGGAAGAAGCAATACAACGGAAAATGATGATTGGAATAAATAAGGAGAGAGGAAGGGAAGGAAAGGAGAAGGGAGAGAGGGAAGGAAGGGGCTTCTCCTCCATGACAAGGAACGGGAAGGGGATCCCCCCAATCCATTCCCGGTGGGACAGCGTCAGCAGCGGGGTTGTCCTGCAGCTGAGGGCAAGGTTGGGCTGGGAGATGGAGGAGAAGAGAGGGGAAAAGGACCGGTGACTTCCTCCTCACCTGTCTGGGGATCCTGGGGCATCTTCCTCTTCCTCACAACCTCCTCCTCCATCTGGCCAATGATTGGGAATGGCAAATCCT